ACACGCTGTGTGAAGAAGAACTTTCTTTTATTAGTTTTAAACCTGCTACCCCTTAATTTCATTTGGTGTCCTCTAGTTCTTCTGTTTAGGGAACTAATAAATAACTTTTCTTTATCGGCCCTTGTGACGTAGTGGGGGTACCTGGCTGTTTTCTATGCTGCTGGCTCTGGGGTACCCCCACTGGCTGCTGCGGGTACCACGACCCAGAAAGACAGGGGATTATGTCATTATGCAAAGGGTCTCTCAACCTGTCTGACCAGCCACCCCCCATGGAGAGGGGCAAAGGAAGGTGGATGCTGCCCTGGCTGGGGGGCAGGGCTGGAAGGGAGTGTCAGTTTTCTGTCTGGGAGGATGGAGGAAGCAGCCTCAGCAACAGGCTGGGGGGTTTAGAAGCCGAGACCCCCTCCCCCATCTCCAGGGGGGTGACATCTGTGCTGGGCTGTATAAACCACCTCTGTTCTACCGGCTGGTGGAGTCTGTTCATGCCATTTCGGGGTGCAGGAGGTGGGGGACCCCAACGCGCCGTCACAGCGACATTTCCCCGATTTCCACCTGTAGCACGGACCTTTCAATGAGCAATGGCAGGCCAGGAATGGAACTACTAAAACGCATCGCGCCAGCAGACCATTCTACTGAACACCTTTTGTTTTGACTCCTATCCACGGGCCGCGTGTTGAGCCCCACGTAAACCCAAATTGCACAGCGGGCTGCAAACAAACAGGCCACGGGCCGCATGCCACCCAAGGGCCACATGCTGAATAGCCTTGATCTAGAAGATGGTTCTTGGTCCTGCCACAAGAGCAGGGGACTGGACTTGATGACCTCCCGAGGTCCCTGCCAGTGCTAGTGTCTGTGATTATGTTTTTTAACCCCCCCCAGCTTGGTGTCACCCATAAACTTTGTGTTCTCTCTATGCCGATATCTAAATTGCTGATGAAGATACTGAACAGAACCGGTCCCAAAACAGACCCCTGCGAAACCCCCCTTGTTCTGCCCTTCCAGCATGACTGTGAACCACTGACAACGACTCTCTGAGAACGGCTCTGTGACGGCACGTTGGGGGTTCCCCGTCTCCTGCACCCCGAAATGGCACAAACAGACTGCACCAGCCAGTGGAATAGAGGGAGTTTATTGCCTCTCCAGGATACAGCACAGCACAGATGGAATCTGGTCACAGAGCTGGGCTAGGATGCCTCAGGCCCCCTTGAGACGGGGGAGACTGGGCCCCTAAACTCCAGCTCCTCTCCCTAGGCTGTCTCCTCCATGCTCACAGACAGCCAGCAACCAACTAACTAACTTCCAGCCCTGCCCCCCAGCCAGGGCAGCATTCCACCTTCCTTTGTTCCTCTCCATGGGGGGTGGCTGGCCACTGGTTTGCATAGTGACTCATCCTGTTTTGCTGGGACGTGGTCCCCACGGCAGGCCGTGGGGGGGGAGCCCCAGACAGCGGG